CTTTGGTCTTCACAGCTCATCAAAAACGCTGGATCACTCCCAAAATCCTTGCACGAGTGAGGCGTTCGTTCCCGACGAAAAAGCCAAAAACTTTATATTTTACATCAAAATGGACCACCCAACTGACTGGGTCACGTGGAACGGCTTAGCTAAATGTCTCAAGATATGGGACTTGGATGTGCGAGGCTTCCACAAAAGCATGTGGCGTTTATGGATCAAGGGAAACCATGTTTTGATTGTGGGCTGCCCAGCGTCTCCGTACTGCAGCCATAAACCGGCGGAAGTGACACCTATCTTTATACCTAAAAAAGAAGATGAGCAGTCATAGTATTTGAACTGCGGTTTTCAGGTGGCTTTCAGAAATAGTTTTCTACTAGCGTTAGTTCTGCCTGAGCTCTTTTATTGAATATAATCATGCCGTATGTTCTGAACCAATCAGAATGAGACCAGTTATGATTTGGTTCGGCTGGTTGCATGTTTTCCCGCGCTGCCCTTTTCCGATGCTCGTTCATTGGATTTACATTTTCCCGCGTTTTCCACTTACATGTTTTCCTGGGCTTACACTCAATAGATATTTTTCCCGCGCTTTCCACTGGTTACATATTTTCCCGCGCTTTCCATTGGTTACATATTTTCCTGCGCTTTCCACTGGTTACATATTTTCTTGCGCTTTCCACTCGTTACATGTCTTTCCACGCTTTCCACTGCCCACATGTTTTCCCGCGCTTTCCAGTGGTTACATATTTTCCCGCGCTTTGCCACCGGGTGCGATTTTGTGATTGGTTCGTGACGCTGTTTTCGAGCCAGGGCTCCTCGTTTTAGTTCTGCATCAGTCATGAGAAAACCGTAGTAGTTTGTTGTCGTGTTTTTTAGCAAAATTAGCAACGTCTTAATTATCTCTGGTTAAAACTTCTTTGCCAGAGAACGCTTTTACACAAGATAGTTTGTAATCCTGATTACTCAACCATTTTTTAAATTAACACGAATAGGTAACTTTTGATAATTTTACATTTTTAAAGTCTGGTCTACGCCAGTGACGGAGTCCGACTACAAGTCAAATGCGTAGAAGCCCTACAAATGTTACGATTCGCAAAAGGAAGCCAAAGGAACTGTACTGACGTAATAATTACACCCACTTGAGTTAATTATGTCTCTATGAATTCTCAAGCTCCTTGGTGTAAACCAGGCCTTAGGTGGCAAGATAACTATCAATTCCAGAGGCAACACCGACTGTTTCGGCGGATGTACTACATGACAGAAATAAACGTTTGACAGTCTCTCGCTTTGATTTTTGTGTGCCCGCTGATTCAGGATGCGAAATTAACCTTTCTTTAAAAACTCCTCCTCCTCCTCCCCATTTCTTTTAAATCTATCCCCTTTAAAAGATCTTAAACGACTGCCCACTTTGTAAAGTGTGGCTGACTGGAACTGTTGCGAAAAGTTAGGATAATAATGTCTGGACTGACACATTGTCCGAATTTTTTTTCGGTGAGCTTATTTTCTTCCGGGAGGGGAGATGGGTGTTATGGTAAAAAGGAATTTTGGGTTTCGAAACTGTTCCGGTTATCCTTGGAAAGGTTGTTTTGTCTGAAAAATGTTGCGGTAAAGCTCTCTAAACACACTAGGACGAAGAACAAGTGCAGACTTGAGCAACATCACAAGCAAGATCAGAATGCCAGTATCGATAGTAATTTTAAGTCGGTATGGGTTAAATACTCATGGGACGGAAACAGTGGCGAAAGTGGTGTATTAGTTAATGAAAGATGTTAGCGACTGCGTCATAGATTGGAAAAGGGAGGGGGCAACGGCATCTTATCGGAATTTTTTCTGTACATGTGTTTTCTTTAAAATATAATTATTGATTTAACCTGCAAGTCGTTTGAAACTCTCCCGTCAAAACTGATGTTGAAGAATTTTCTGTCGTTGACGTTTTCTTAAGAGGAAGGTAAAAGAATAAAATATCAATTATATGTTTCCAGGCTTAAACTTGCGGTATTCTACCAAAGTAAACAAACATGGAAAGGAACCCACCGGGAACTCGTGGGGAAACACATAAAGATGAATGTAGCAAACGACACGGGGAACTCTTGACGCAAGGGAAAGGGAAGGGAACCCATGGGTAAGGGGAACTCTTGGAGAACTCACGGGGAATTCACCGGGAACACACCGGCAACTCATTGGGAACTCAACAGGAACTCATCGGGAATTCATTGGGAACTCATCGAGAATTCTTTAGGAACTCATCGGGGAACGCACAGGTTGCGTACCCGGCGGTGACGAACGGTGGAACGCATAGCTAAACGCACAGGAAACACAAGACGAAGACACTGGAAACGCCAGGTAAACACACAAGAAAATGCTTGAGGTAATGCACTGGGAACAAACGGTG